CTCCTGACCTCGTGATCCGCCCGCCTCGGCCTCCCAAAGTGCTGGGATTACAGGCGTGAGCCACCGCGCCCGGCCCACCCGCTTCTTTTTAATAAGAACATTGAAGATCTATTCCTTTAGCAAATATTGAGTATATAATACAATATTGGCCAGGGGCTTTGAGTCTGCCTTTCTGACAAGTTTTGTGGAGTGCTCTGAGTAGCAGGGTTATTTGACTATTAGGAAAGACAACAGTTTGAGGTAACAATAATTTAGGAGACTCTATCAAGGGCTGAAAGAGACCATGAAGGTAACTAGCATTGGCCCAGGAAGGACTGCCTGATTCTCCAGCAATTTTGCTTATGGAAATCTGCATTTTTTTGGTCTGGATAGTCAGCTGCAGCTCCTCACTGGTTTGTAATAGCATACTATCTTCCTAAGAGGGAATATGATGGAGTAAATACATCACAAGTTTTAGGATCCAACACGTGGATACAAATCTTAGTGCTCTTGGGCAAGATCTTTTAACCTCTTCAGTTACTTCATCTGTTGGGTGAATAAAATAAAGTCTTCCATACAGGGCTACTGAGAAGATTACACAAGCACTTGGCAGAGTGCCTGACTCATAATAAATGCAAAGGTCTAGAGTTGTTATCTTTACTATTATTAATATATACATTGGTCATTTCCCTCTCATGGAAACAATGACAAATTTATTTCAGAAAGTTGTTCTTGAACAATATGAGAAATACCTTCCGTTTGGGGAGACAAGATAGTAAATTTCCCAACACATGCTGGATGGTCCTTTTTCTTTTCAATGTCTTATTTCTGAAAGACGTAGTAGGGGAGGGGCAGACTCAGAGAGAAGTGTGTTGACTTATTGATTCTCAGGAGGTTTGTTTCGAGTGACTGCAGACATTGCTTCCTGACCCAGTGAATGTACAGACCACTGATACAACTCCCTCCAGTAATTGAACCCCAAACAAACAATACTATTCTTCTACTTTCTTTTCTTAGCTAAACACCTTTGACATATACTGATTATTTAAACCTTCCTAGACTTTCAGTTCAGTCTTTCTTTTTTCCTTCATTAGCTCTTGTTTACTTCCTTCTGTCTTTGTTGCTTTTTGCTATTCACAAATGGGGTTGGGTTGGGTGGTAAGAATCTTTTTACTTAAAATAATTTTGCGATAACTCCAAATATGAGAGAACAGGAAAGTGAACCAATAATTTTTTTTTTTTTTTTTGAGACAGTTTCACTCTGTTACCCAGGCTGGAATGCAGTGGTGTGATCTTGGCTCACTGCAACCTCTGCCTCCTGGGTTCAAGTGATTCTCCTGTCTCAGCCTCCCGAGTAGCTGGGATTACAGGGGTGCACCACCCCACCCAGCTAATTTTGTATTTTTAGTAGAGACAGGGTTTCACCATGTTGGCCAGGCTGGTCTCCAACTTCTGACCTCAAGTGATCTGCCTGCCTTGGCTTCCCAAAGTGCTGGGATTAATTATCATTAGTTATTTCCATGCCCGGCCAACCAATTATTTTTAATAGATTTAAAAAAAGAAATTTGGAAAAGTATGCTACTTCTCTGAAGTCACACAGCTCATAAATGACAGAGGCAAGATACGAACTTAAGTTTTTCTAACCTCATAGCTCATGTTCTTTCAAGTATGCCATGCTTATTGTCAAATCTGGGAGATAAAACAAGTACACAGACTAATATAATTCAAGCTAAAGTGGGTTATAGTGACTTAAGTACTCAAAGGGAAATCCCAGCACCTCTTCTCAGAATTAGGAAGAGCCAAGTTTCAGTGGAAAATACCACAGAGATAAAGCTAGAAAGGACAGGTTATAGAAGGTTATGCCAGGTGAGCATGAACATATAATTCAGTAAACAACTAGAAACTGTTGTAAGTGCTTAGCCAACAAGTGACTTAATCAGAGCTAAATTTTAGGAAAATGGATTCAACAATAGTATTATGTTGGATGGATTAGGGCAGGGAAAAGCAGAAAGCTCTATTTGGTGCCATGAAGGATACACAGATCAATCAACCTTGTGTTCTACATGTAAGATTCTCATTACACAGTAACTTTTTACACACAAAGAAAACTTCAATGAAAGGTAGAATTTAATAAATGTCATTGAAATATACAAAATGTCTTAGTAGTTGAAGGTTGAGGTGGCAAAAACAATCTGTTTTTAGTTAGTGTAGAAGGATAGATTTGTTAGGCAGTCATTGTCAACATGAAAATTTTGAAAAGCTAGGTCTGATTTCATGGACATTTAAACTTTCTTGAAATTTATATTTCAGCTCATATGTAGACCCAAACAATTAGCTCACCATCTCTCCAACCTAGGAATTCCTTCCAAATACTAATGCCTAAAATCATTTTTAAAAATTATATATTAGGATTTCCAGTGGCAGGGTCTGGAGAAGGGGCGACAGTTGCCATGTCCAGCCGCTAAGGTGGCAAGAAGGCCCTGAAACAGCCCAAGACGCAGGCCAAGGAGATGGACTAGGAAGATAAGGCTTTCAAGCAGAAACAAAAAGAGAAGCAGAAGAAACTCGAGGAGCTAAAAGTGAAGGCCACGGAGAAGGGGCCCTTGGACAAGGTGGAATTAAGAAATCTGACAAAAAGTAAGCTGTTCCTTGTGCCTGAGGTGATGGTGACCATTGATTTCATTCGTATTTAAACATCAGTATTCCCTGCCATAATGTCTTTTGCCACCTATAGCTGGAATGAAGTGTTGTCTTGGAGCCTGTTGTATATTTAAGAATAAACTTTTGTAAAAATAAAAAATAAAAGATAAAAATTATATATTACTATAGAAGATCTTGGCGGCCTTGCCTCTAGTCCCAGCTATTTGGGAGGAGGATTGCTTGAGTCCAGGAATTTAAGTCCAGTGTGGGCAACATAGAGAGACTCTATCTTAGAAAAAAAAAAAAAGGAATTATTTAGGTATGCAAAAAGGCAAAGTTAAGAGTAAGAATTTGGTTTTTAAAATAAAAAAGAAGCAAATCTACAGTAAGTTTTATTTTTAGAGCTGCTGCTTTATCAACTAAACCAAGATGAAACACTTATTCATAAGATGACAAAATTTTTTTTCTTCTTAAATTCATTTCTGAGTTAATACATATCTGACTCATTGTCACCAAAGAGGAACCTTCTTGCAGAGACTTGTGCAGCTGCCCTAGGGTCAGTCTCTACAGAAAATATACTTACCTTCATGCAGTGCTAATAGTGTAAATGTTAGTTGAAATCTGATTTTGATTATAAATAAGCTTTTTTTTTTTTTTTTTTGAGATGGAGTCTCACTCTGTCACCCAGGCTGGAGTGCAGTGGTGCCATCTTGGCTCACTGCAAGCTCCACCTCCCGGATTCATGCCATTCTCCTGCCTCAGCCTCCCGAGTAGCTGGGACTACAGGCGCCCACCACCACGCCAGGCTAATTTTTTGTATTTTTAGTAGAGACGGGGTTTCACCGTGTTAGCCAAGATGGTCTCGATCTCCTGACCTCGTGATCCGCCCACCTCGGCCTCCCAAAGTGCTGGGATTACAGGCGTGAGCCACTGCGCCCGGCCATTATAAATAAGATTTTATAAAAATTGACAAATAGACTAGAATTGTCTTTGCAAAAGTAAGATTTTTAACAATGAGGTTTCTGGTTTCTTGAGAAAATACAAACTCCCTAACACAGACTCATTTGCAATGAGAACGTCCATGAAACTCTCAGAAAGTAAGATGGAGCAGTGCAAATATCTGTAACAAGCAATAATGCCACAATACAGAAAAACCAGGATTAATGTCATTCTGATTCAAAGCTTTTAAGCTTGGAAATCCATCTGACAGAAAGGATAAGAACTCAAGTTTATTTCAATTGAAGCAAAACAGGAAGAACAATAAGTAGCTAATCCTGATAATGGGAAAAGGGGGGAAAAGATTAGCTGAGCAAATGATGTTTCCTGATTGAATGAATTGGTGAAGTCTCTGGGATTCGGGTTAAATGTTGGGGCAAATTGGCTGAAGATGGGGTGGTTAAATTCACCTACCTAATTTTTGTTTATGAGATCCAGCTGGAAAGATAGAGAAACTTCTGAGGCATTCATTTACTGGAGACTCTGCTCTCATTTATTTAGCAGGAAATACAATATTCACAATGAAACCTAAACAAAAGCAGTTGTGGAGCTGTTGGAAGGTAGACTTCTGATAGCAGGAATAGGAACACACCCAAGCATCAGGTCAGAAAGTTCTGGCTCCATGTCAGTGTCACCATTTACCAGCTGTGGGATTCAATATAGGAGAGTCTCAGGGGTGGCAGTGTTGCTGAAGCATTCTGGAGTTTCATTTGCACAGCAAGCACACTCTTTCCTTAGGCTGTCTAGCTACTGTGGTAGCTTGGAGGACTTGAAGATGGGGGATTGGGAAGAGTAGGGAGGACCTGATCTCCCCATGCCTACCCCTGGCACTGCCTTAAGACCTTGAGCA